GGTGTGTGTGTGTGTGTGTGTGTGTGTGTGTGTGTGTGTGTGTGTGTGTGTGTGTGTGTGTGTGTGTGAGCATACCAAACAGTATATAATTTAATCAAAATCACAATATTTGTATCTCAAGAGGTGCAGTATTTGTTACAGCCAAAATATGTTTGATGTATACATTTATATTCTGAATTAAAGGGGCACAATTTAACTCATTTTTAGGTTTCACACGTGTATCTCTCTACTCTGACATGTCTCCATGCTTTAATGTTCAAAAAGCTCTTTATTCTTCTCATACTGCCTGTGCTGCAGCACCTCTTTTCATCCTCTGTCTGAAACCAGAGCCCAGTCTCCTCTGATTGGTTAGCGGGCCGGCTCAGCTTTGAGATGTCCCGCCCCTTAGTGTATTTCAATGTGTTGCCAATAGAAGCGCAAGTGTTTTATAGTGATGTCACTCAAAATCACAACATGATCATTTTAAACAATGACAATGGGAACAATGATTGATCATATCCCAGTTTTAATACCAGTCTCAATAATCCCACTAAGTTATATTGTTATCCAAATCATGCAGCTCTTACCAAACTGAATCTGTTGTGACTTCACTGATTGTGGGAGAATGTCTGTTTTGCTTTTTGTTAGTCACCTTCAAATAATTTCCACTGTTTTTTTTCCCACCCCCTCCTTCCTACCTACTCTCTTCTTCTTCTCTCCTCCTCCTTTTTCTCGCCGGTGCAGCGAGGAGACTCCAGTGGTGACGTCCTGTGAGGCCACAGATCAAAGTAAGTACTTCTGTGCATGTCCGTACACAACAAACACGTGTATTAGCGTCAGTGTTTTCTAACTTGAACCGGTTTTTAAATGCCTTTTTACAGAGAAGGGCATTGTATGGAAACTGTTGTGCAGCTAAACGATAAGGTTTTGCATAGTAACTGTTCCTGGTTTCCTGATGCAGTTTCATATTTACATCACTTTGAATGATGCTGAGGACAGTGAAGAGGTCAAGCAGTTGAGTTGCGAACCTGAAAACGATTGTGCAGAATCATGTCTGCATCCCCCTGACTATCGTAGAACTCATTACTCCTTGTGTGGTGTATAAACACGTCAAAAACAAACAATGACCCCGGGCAGACTGCACACTGCAAAACAATTTCAAAGCCCGCCGTGTAGTGTAAACACGAAACACGGACAACCTTCACGCAGCGAAGACTTCACCTTAAACCCGGTGTTTGTTTTATAGTCCCCGTCGACCTTGGTCCGTTGCAGTTCACGTCACTTCTCTTCAGGTCCATGTAGCTGACATTCAGGTGGAGGCTCTCACTGCGGCTCACTGAAGAGTTTTCATGTTGTGGTTTGATGGAGGCTGTGGATTTTTGTTATTTAGAAATATGTTATCCATTGAAAAAACATTTTTAAACAGTTTTTTGCAGAGCCTCAAAAAGCTTAACCTGTTTAGCCCTGAGCCTGTTTTTCAGGTCTCAGGCTCGAAAATGACATTCCCAGAACAAATGACCATATCTTCCCTTCTAAAAGGGTTACATTAATAATCGTTTTTCTCAAAGTAATGATAAACCTGTGAGTTGGATGTAGAAGTGTCTGAATCAATATAGATGTTTCTGTGTCAGAGTAAATTCAGATGGAACATAGTAAAACAAGGTAAATTCTTACCTCCGCCTAATAAAAAAAAAAACATTACTTATAGTGAAAACCACACTTGAATGATGGCATGGTAGACTAAAAGCTTTAGGAATCCAAAGTATAACATATAATAAGTATCCTGTATCAAGATTGAGGCAAAACAAGTGGACATTTTTTTTGGGCACATTTGGATACCATCAGTGCCATTTGACCTTTTTCAAAATAATTGTATTATCACTATAGGTAGTCATTCCATCCAAATGCAAGTGTTTTTATATTAAGACCCTCTTAAAAGCCAAACTAACAGTTGTTGAAGATATTTTACTTACTTTTTCTTATTAAAACAGTATACCAAAGTGTAGACGTACTCTGTCACAGTTATAAGTCCTGCACTTAAGTAAGTTCAAAGCATGGAGACATACTTGGAGTAGTGAAACTGCTAATCCAATGAGGGTGTTCTCACATCTAAATGACTATGTATCACAACATAGTGTACTGTGTTTTCACAAAGACTCTATTCTTGGATACTACTATGTAGATATTTCAAAAGGATAAATAAAGAATATTTTTCTAATTTCAAGAATTAAACAAAGCAAAGTGAAATACAAAAATAAAGGGAATACAATAAATCAATATTTCCATTTAAATGTGTATACCAGTTTGTTTATGAGCTTGAACTGCGTTGTAATGTAAAAAGTGATTCAAACACAACATCTGCTATCTTTAAATGATTCAATGTTCTCATCATTTTCTGAGAAATGTGACAGGGTGTCCGTGGGGTCTTAAAAAGTATTAAAAGTTGATAAATCAATTTAGTGAAAATGAAGGCTATTAAAAAGTATTAAACGGTATTTTCCAAAGTGTTACATTTTGTAGCTTGTTTTCAATAAGTATATCAATTGTCCAAAGAGGTTGTATTCTACAGTCTGCCTGAATGTAATCATTGCGTAGGTGTGTAGTGTGATTCTGTGGAGTTTATTTATGGCATCCCGTTGGATTTGACATCATCTGAACAGGACATCGCACGCTCACTGCTTGATAGCGCGCAAAGGCCCGTTTACGCCGGTTGCTAAGCAACATCGTTATGGGGAAATGCAAGTCTGCGTCCAAATGGTTGGAAGATAAGGAGGAAGGACAATCAATACTATATATCGTAAATGTGAGGTACAGTAAAGTGTGTCGCCAAGGTAACCGGTTGAAACTCAAAGTGGCGATGAGGTCTTAAAATGTATGGAAAGGGTCTTAGAAAAGGTCTTAAAAGGTTTTACATTTGACTTCAGGATTCCTGCATATACCCTGTGTAAATTAGTTTGTGCAAGTTATTGTCAATGAAGGAGACATCTTTGTATATGCACATTTCTCAAAACACAAGTCTTTCCAGATAAGAGTCCTAAGAGTCGATACATTAATACATTAAAGTATTGAATCAATGCCAGGCCTTAACTTCAAGTACAAAGAGTACTAATGATGCAGAATAGCCCATATTAGAAAAACATATATCATTTGAATAGATTATAATTATTGATGCAATAATGTGCACATGTTGCAGCTGGTAATTGTGAAGCTGATTTTTATTCATTCATACTGTATGTATTTTATATATAATTTACCATGCTGCTATAACAACTTGTGTATTCCCCTTTGGTTCCAATAAAGCCTCATGTATTTATATTTACATATAAATAAATAAGAATATATATATAAGTAACTGATATCAATACATATAAAGGTGAGAAGTGTAACATCTGCCTCTCAGATTGAGTGGACTAGAGGAATAAAGTAACCAATTAGTCAAGTTTACTGCAAGTACAGTACATATCCAAATGTATTTAATTACTTTACACCACCGCTTACAAATACATGCATTTAAAGACAGAAATTACTGACGATCTCTTCCAAAAACAGCCCAAAATCCTTGATGTTCAAACTGAAATGTTGTTGTACAGCGAGAGTAAACACTGCTCTGCTGGGGCGTATATTTCCCGTATGCATGGAGCGATGAATATGCATATTCCTGTTCCACAGACTCCTCTCTTAGCCGGGGGTGACTTTAGGGCGATGTGAACCCGCGGTTTTAATAAAGCCCAGCTGCCGAATGATCAAATAGTGTCTCTAATTAAGGCCTGCGTGTACACCCGTGTAAAATTCTCCCTGGAATGCTAACAACCTGTGATATTTCCAGAGGAATTTGCCGTGCAGGTCTCAGAGAAGAGAGGGGGAGGTGGTGGAGGTGGATAGGAGGGTGAGTGGAGTGTTTTGGGCGGGAGGAGGGGCAGTGTTCATGTGGCAAGCCAACATGTTGTTCACATCCGTGTCAGATTGAGGCTAATGAAGGCCAGACTGATCCTTGGATGCGAGCCTTAAGTAAATGATCCCTCTTTGAATATATTAGAGCCCCGTAGCAGCGCCAGGCAAGCCCCCCCCCTCCCTAAAGTCTTGCCGTGTTTTTGGGGTCTGACGAGGCCGGTCGGAGCCGCTGTCACGGTACGCCATCTTTCCAAATGTACCATCCATTGCAGCAGCATTGTTACATTGGAGCTACACACGCTAACGTTAGCAGGCTTCTGCAAAACAGTTTGATAGTAAATGGAAAGTATGAGTGTTGTGTCATTTGACAATGTAAATGAGCCACCAAAAAAAAAAAATCCCCCGCCCCCTTAAGAGGGATCGCATTTACATAACAGGCCGGGGTTTGGTACTCATGCAAATTGATCAAACCTCAGTTGTCTCGTTTTTTATTTAAGATTATTTTTTGGCCACCTGTATTTTTATTATAGAGACAGAAAGAGGGGGGGGGGGGACAGACAGAGGGGATGACATACGGAAATGGTCCCCAGGTTGGAATCAAACCCTGGTCTGCCTCAATGCGATTGTGTCATGTTGTTGTTATTTTGAGTTTTATTAGATTGAGATAAGTATATACAGAAACATATTTAGAAATGAAAGCTAATAAACATTTTACAGCAGAATTATAAATAAAAAAACAGACAGAACTTTTTCACTTCAATTTATCGCCACACTGGCACTTTGCATGTAAATGAATCCTAAACGTGTAATTACGAGGCACTTTTGAATATTGATTGGACAGACAAGGACATAGAAATGAAGCACTT